ATGGTATTGGTAATGGTAAAATTGTCCACAGGCTGCAACATGTTTGGAAAAGTGACCAACTTACCAGCTTAGGCTACAGTTTAGTAAGGTATCTGCCAGGGTTCTTATAACCAATAAAATTAACCCAAGCACACCACTACAAGACTTCAAGATACTGTAAGCACTTTCTGCGTAGAACCAAAAAATTATAATTTTAAGTTGAAGGTAGCCTTGGTTAACTTCATATTGGAATGTTGAATATCTCAGTCCTCCATGAGCACTCATGGTGTTGCAAAGTACTCGAAACGCCGGGATATAAAATAAGCTAACAGTGGTAGAGCCACGCGGCAGCTTTTGCTGTCGCACGGACGGACCGGCTCGAACCGGGGTAGTACCACGACCTCACAGAAAACCAGCGTGAAGTAGAGGTTTCACTCTCAAAGGATAGATGTAGATGTCTATGGGTCGCGGCAACCACTTACCATCAGGTGGACTATGTGCTCGTTTGTAACCCTTATCCTATAAAAAAAAGCTAAAACGTGAAAATTTCGTAAAAACTAGTTTCATTCAATAAGGTTGCCATTTGAGAGTAAGGCAAATCTCCCAATTTTAGAGGGCTATGTCCAAGCACTACTGATACTTATGGCTGACTTTTGTATTCCTATAAATTAATAAGCGTGGTATAGTCATTTTGAAGCAACTGTGGTAATGCACCTGTATTTTCTACCTACGCGAAAAAGGAGGAGGTACTCAATTCGACTGTATGTGTGTTACCTCATAACTTTTTACTGGGTAAATCGATTTCGATGATTCTTTTTTATTTGAAAGCTGGTGTTTCTCATGTGGTACTATATATCAAGTACTAACTAACAGTTTTTGAGTTATATTTAATAATTTATATTGAAGTCGATTGTACAAATTTTTTAATTTTAAATTATTATATTTCTGATCCTTCATCAAGGAAAGATGTATTCCCGCATTCATTAGTATTAAGTGTTCTGTATGCTCGTTTGTCACTTACCTGAGTAAAAAAATGCATAATTATGCACATACAATTTTATTATTTTTAAACTCTTTTTTGGCGTAGTAGTGAAATAATTTTACGCAAGGTTGGGCAGCTAATAAAGACGTTATCACAAAAGTTATTTTAGTTAAAGAGGAGTGTCAGAGTTGACGCTTAATCGCACAGCAAAAGTGACTATTCCTGTGAATATATTTGTGGATATATTAAAAAATATTTATCCGAGTACAGAAATACCATGAATGGATTTTAAAGTAGTAGTAATTTCTTATTTGTTTCATATATATTAGATTGATTGACGCGAAACACAAATTGGAAGTGTAAATTACTTGAAGAGATGTCCACGGGACCACCCGCGCTGACAACATGGAAGAGGCACCTTGTCTCTTCAGGTTATTTATTATTTCAGTAGCAACGTTCGGGCCGCAGTCAAAACACCGTGCGCTATGATTTACAACGCAATAAACACGCTTTATATCTAATGGAAATGAGCTTTTATACGTGATACTGCGCAGCCACCCTCCGATTGTAAAATTTGATTCATTATTCTCTACTTCTAGCTGCACCACAGCTTATAACAAATCATGAAGTCGTTCATACGACATATAATTCATTATTTAGGATATTTATATTTTAAAAAATAAAAAGAATATTTTCTGCGAAGGAAGTAGCCAATGTTTGGATCTACAGCAACAGGCACTGATTAGACTTAATACAAGTGTAGTGTAGTGTGTACACTAACTGCGCATATTTATAATGACGGTAGTTTTTTTTTATAGGATAGGGTGACAAACGAGCACATAGTCCACCTGATGGTAAGTGGTTGCTGTGACCCATAGACATCTACATCTATCCTCAATATAGAATCATAATGCAGATGCGTTGTCACCCGTGAGGACTAAGATGAAATGCCTCTTCACCAGTAAAAAGGTTCTCCGGTTCTCTACACTCACCATACGAAACACAGCAGTTTTAAGCTGCTATTTGACGCTGGTATTCTGTGAGAGCGTGGTCCTCCCCCGGTCGAGCCGACCTATTTGTGCTACAACTATACTACTAATATAGCTGCAGCATGGCTCTACCACGTACAAAAGGTAGTATTTTTCCGGAATAATATTTATTGAAATTTTAGCCGTGGAAGGAAAAGAAGAGGAGATCTCCCGGAATGCAAGGTGTTCAGCCCGGGGAGCGGCCAACGCTTCGAGTGGTAGTTCGGTGCTATTCCATATAATATATTGCTTTATTTCGGTACTTTTGATAGCGCGATTTAGGTTTCGATGTGTTTCGCTTGTGACGCAACGACATAGCAATATATAAAAACATATGACATCCATTTCTTTTCAAAGTTTCTTTATTAAAGAAAATTGAGTAATTGATATTTCAAGATGTCTGACCATACGTTGATAAAAATGTTGTATTTTGGTAAAAATAGAGTGATACTCGTAAATTTAAACCGGGTAAATGTAGATTTTTCGTCGAATTGTTGTTATAACTTAATATTTTATATTTCAAAGGTTTAGGTAAGTTCAGAATTTTTACATTGTTAATAAATTATGTATTGTATATGTAGTTTTGTCATATTCCCTTCAAAATACTTTAATACTTAAATATTACATTAGATTGAAAAAAGTGATATAAACATTTACGCTAAAAGAACGCGAAGAATTCAAGTCTTATCTCTTTATATTCTATAAATAAATATGTTAAGTGTATTGTTTTCCGTATAATACACCTACGTTAATGAAGTTAAATTTTACGTTCAACTATTAAATTTTAATTTCCAGTGCAAACGTTTATTCAAATGTAAAAATGTACGCCTTCTTTAAAACTTCCTTACTTTACAAAGCTTTTAAAAATTATCGATTCCCTCTTTTGATGCCTTAAGTATGCCCAGCAATTAAATTTAATGCAGAAGTTCTGTCAGACGATGAATCGATACAAGATCCCGGTGGCCCATGTCTCTATAATTTTATTAAACAGAGTAAACTTAGTTTGATTTTAACTGATACATGCGTCGAATTCTATAAGCAGCTCAAATGTCATAGGCGACAACACCCGAGTTTATTTTTATAGCATCGATATCATTGTGAAGCTCGTAACTAGAATGTAATTGTTAGGTTATCGGGAATAGTAGTTTAATGAGACTGGCTTTACCGTTTCATAGATAACGTGCCGCCTCTCTTATCTTTATGAGTTGATAACGACAGCTCACAGATTATGCAATCGGGATTATGTATAGATCGGTTGGTCTTAACTAAACATCTCTTCTTATATAGCCTTTAAAAGTTTCTCTTACATTATCGGCTTTGGGGTAGCATTAGTATCAAAAATAATTATTGAAATCCGTCGTTGTGTAATTCTATTGTAATTATACTGCGTATTGTAAACAACTACGTTATATATATTTTTTATTTAAAAGTAATTGTAGGGTGTTACTATGTAATAAATAACGCTGTGGAGACTAAATGCGCATAGTTCTGAAATTACGCGGGGTTTTTATTTGAACTGTGTTAAAATTTGTACGCGTATATAAAATTATAGCAATAACAAAGTAATGCATGTATATTGCATTACTTTGTTATGCTAGCATATAAACAGTACTTATACAAAATGATGCAATGTACAAATGTACGATAGTTCGTACAGTTATTAAGTAATGAATAATAACAATAATTGCACTGTAGTGGCAACGTAAGTGAACCCACTACCCCATATCGCTCCGTGGATGACGGCAGTAGCATCTTCCTGATAAGTAACAATTCAAAATAATATAAAAACTGCGGTTGCCAACCCACCTGACAAACTTAGTAACTATGACAGACATCCTGACATATGAAAGCAATCTATGGCGGAAACAAATGTTCAGCAGTGGACGTACGTGGACGAAAACTGTTTTGTGGCCCATCATCAATTACTCGGCTATGTCGTAACTACTAATATGCCGATCTTGCTCCACTTTTTCAAAAATGGCATCCACTTTATCCGTATGATGCGTTCCAGAGCGAGCTGCATCTTTGGCATCAAAATTTCCGGACTGAAAACGCTTGAACCAACTTTGTGCTACTCTTATTGACACTGCATTAGGTCGATAAACGTCACAAATGTTTTTCCCGGCTTGAGTTGCATTTTTCCCTTTGTGTAATAAAACTTTAGAATTTATCGAATTTCTTCGATAGCTTCACTTATTTTCGGTGGACAGCAAAATGGCGAGAAAGTATTTTTTACTTTTATTTTTCTATTTCTTAATATCCTATATGTATTGACTTAAAAGCAGCCAAAGAGATTTTTCGTCAATTTTATACAAACAAAATACGAATAAACATTTTCCCCCGATCTATTATAATTTTCATGACTAGATATTTGTGTAATAAGTTAGCGTATTATGTATTTGTATTAATGAAATCGAATATTTAGTATGTATTTTTTAAATGTAATAACCTTATATTGTAGAATGGTTCTATTCGTGGATATCATATTTAATGTATCACTGATCAAAAAATTTGGATCTAATACTTGAATTTTGGTTTGAATAAAACATTGTTGTGTCTGCAACATTTTTAAATAGTACTTAGCCTCTGAGAGCTCACAAACCAAAGTAAAAATATATAAATCTGATGGTTTTAAATCACACACTTTTTTAACTACTGATCGACTGCTTTTCGTTTTCTTTTATAAAGAAATTTCAAGGAATAATATTACATAAATATAATTTAACTATTTATTATTACTTACTAATTAGATACCGTTGTTTTTTATGTATTCTTTCTTCAAAGTGTCATTACCAACCTAAAGAGTTCACGTTGAAACAAATATATAAGTTCAGACGGTTAGACATTTCATCTTCTTCGAGGTTGGTATTACGGCGGTAGTCTTTATCGGAATTTACCTCGGGAATTGATCACAAATGGACGTGGACTGTATTAACCACTGCCCATAAAGTAAACTGTCTCGAACTGGAAATCGTTCTAATGATTTATAAGCATTATTTGTATTCACTTACCAGTATTATTATTGTTGTAGTGGTGGGCGGGCGGCGGTATGTACTCGGCAAGTTCCGGGAGGCAAACGTTGCTCTCGTACATGTTCGGTGGTACATTTGCGAGTAGGGACCGCTCTTTTTCCACATCTGCAAATAGTTTCTGCATTAGTACCATAAATTAATAGATAATGAGATTTATATAAAAGAAAATATAGCTAATTAACGAAACATTTCCTAAAAATGTATTATTCCACAGAATTGCTTGTTCTTTCACATAGACAAATAGGGAAATTATAGAAATGATGTAAGCGTTTTATCGAATTTCTAATGATTGATCATGGAGGCTGTTCATTAGCGTTTTACTATGACATTAAATAATTAAAATAATTTAAGTTCTAAATCATTTCTTATTTTTATTATTTTTAAGACCTTGGTAGGTCGGAAACATTGGAGTTGTTTCATATCATTTCTATCCTAAAATCAAAGGAATGCTACATCCTCGATGTTTGCACCCCTAAATAATTGGCAGATAAAATACTTATTATCTTTGTGGTCAAATGTAATTACGCAATCTGCATGTATGAAAAATGTAATATATTTTGAGGACACGTGAAACCCGCACACACACACACGAACATCGTGATGGACTCTTATCACTCTTTCTGAAATTACAGTAGAATTGTTCTTTCCTTACCTTTCTGCAAAATTTCGAGATGCTCCCACAGTATATCGCCCATAAAGGCGGGCGCTCTTGCCACGAACTCGTCTCGGCCCATGGCGCAGATATCCTTGCCTTGCGCGCGCGCGAACTGCTGCAACGCGACACCCTCCAGTGAAAACTCGCGAGCCGCCCATCGTAGCCACGCTGCCACCGCCGCCTCGCTCCATTGTCGAGGATCTGATAGATACGAGATAGTTTATTTCCCTCTACATTTATTAAAAATATCAACAAAAAATTTTCATCTGCAATTTGTTTCCTATGATTACAGTTTTCTAGTCCATTTAGACCGTGACGACCACTTTTTAATAATATAACATTATAGTCAACTGCGTAGAACATGTTAAAGTGCCATAATTGAACGCGTGAGCAAACTTGTAGTAAACTAAACTACATATACCTATCTTGCGTAAGACTTATGTGATAACATGGATAGCAGGTTGAACAATACTATTTTTACGGATTTTACAGCGCTAAAAAGCATGACCACTACAAAACTTCGAGATACAATAAGTTATTTTGCGTAGATCGGAAATAAAATAAATAATTAAAAGCTGAATATAAACCTGGTAGACTATCCAATTGGGACGTCAAATACCCCAGTCCCGTGATTAGGGGTAATAACGATCGAAACGACGAGGCTTAAAAAATAGTTTAAGAATCCGTGAAAGTAGTTTTATTCAATGTGTAGCGATAGCGTAAAAAAAAAGAAATCATTATTGAGAGTAGGTTGCAAAAATGTTTTATAATGCCCATTTTTGTTTATTTGAAAAAAATGTTTACCAATAGAGCCGTGGTAGTTCAGGGGCTAAGCGCTCGCTGTAAATTTCATATTTTCGAACACGGGTTGCTCGCGTAGCAAACCCGGGTTCGATCCCCGCTGGCACCAATGAAATTGTTAATTGCAATTTTAAATGCTGATTTACCACAAGTGGCAGTGAAGGAAAACATCGTGAGAAAACCTGCATGTCTGAGAAATAAGAAAAAAAAACCATTTCGAAGACATGTGAAGTTCGACAACACGCATTGGGGCAGTGCGGCACACATTTCATTTCGCTAAAACCCTCTCAGAAATGAGAGGCCTGTGTCCAGTAGTGGGATATATATAGGCTATAACTTTAACTTTATTTGCCATTAAAGTTCTCATTATATAACAAGCTTATTACTAAAATTGTCTCATAGGTATACCATTTGTGAAACAACTGAATTATTGATAGACGAGCCCACTGGCGTTTACTTCGAACCCGTTTTCAAAGACAAATCGAATCCCTGGAAGCGGCAATAAAACGCTGGAGTGAAGCAATATGAACAATTAGCCGGGCGATGTTTCCCAACTCCGGAACTTGCCTCACGCCGACCGGAAGCGCTCCGACCTTGGCGCCGAATGCGTGCCTGTACGTCCCTACGAATGTGCTCGATAAAAGTGATTTCTAATTGTTAGTACATACTACTGATCGCTTTTGAATTGTGTCGGACAGTCTGATTGTTTTTCTTCGATATCCCGTTTACGAAGTTCCGCCGAAAAGTCTCTTGGGACGCTTCCGGTTGTATAGCGTGTTTGAACGTTACGAATGGATGTAAGCTAGATGATTTCTTTCATGGTTGCTTGAAAGTGTTGGGTTGGTTAATTCATTTTTAAATAATTTTAGGTTAAAATTATAAAATGTGTGACAGTAGTTGCATAATTGAAGAGAATCGAATAAAATTTCAAAACGTTTTACATTTAAAGTTTAGAAGAGTAACCTAAATAACGAGACCTTTTGATAAATTTTATACAAAAGTTTTTGTTTTAAAATTTAAATTATCTAATACTGGCAACTATAAAAATCGACAAGGCCAAACCAATGATATAAAAGTAAACTGCACAGTAACATTTAAATGATCGTTTAGCAGACTACATATATCAGCTGATATACGGCATGGTTGCAAATAAACAAACGAAAAAACCAATATATTGCAACGATTTCGAGTCACAACGAGATTATTATTATTATTATTGGGTATTTATATAGTATTCTCATCAGGTTGGGCTGTAAAAATATATAAAAGAAAATGATCAATTTATTTGCAATGCTAAAATTATTTTAATAAGAGGTGGTCAGAATGGCTTATTTTGTCTTACTACAAAACGTAGTTTATTGATAATCACGGGTTCAAACTATCGTTTAAAAATTTAAAATTTTGTACAACCGACTTCAATATAAATTATTAAGAATAAGTCAAAAACTATTGGTCAGACCTTGATCAAATTTATATGGGAGCAAATGGGAAGCACCAGCTTTCAAATATAAAAGGAATCATCGAAATCGGTTCACCCAGTCGACTTGAGTAACGCCTCCTTTTTGAATGAAAGAAGTCTCTTAGTCGGAGCACCGCGTCTTCACGAAGAGGAATTTTAAAATTTGCTGTCAAATTACATAATTACGTTTTAGTTCGCATATTTTTCACGGGATTTCCTTATTAAAACAGTCTCTAGTTTAAGCCTCAGACAAATTATAAACTACTTTTACAACCGACTTCAAAAAAGAAGGAGGTTCTCATTCTAGGTGAACCGATTTTGAGTATTCTTTTTTTTACTTGAAAGCTAGTGCTTTTCGTGTGGTCTCATATAAATTTGGTTAAGATATGACCAGTACCAGTTTTTGAGTTATCCTTAATAATGCGTATTTAATTGACTTCGACTACATTGATGATGTTCTCATTTTATTTATATTGAAGTCGGTTGTACAAAAGTTTTTATTTTATCGCTTATTGTTATAAAGCTAGACTACTGTCGTTTCTCGCATATTCAGTTCATAATAATTAACAAGTATCAAATATCTAAAAGTACTATCTGCTTTCAAGCAGCCTTCAATTAAAGTAAAAACTGCTGCTCAATACAGTTCTTGACATTCAAGAATGTGTCGAATACACAGTTTATTTTTCTTCCATATCCCCGTAGGAAGCTACATCGGATGTCTTTTACCGGTTCCACTTGTTTCATTTCGATGATCTTATATGTACCTAAACTTAAGGATGTTTGTATAGTAGAAACATATAAATGATTAATAACAGCATTGAAATAAATACGGGATGAGGAAACATGACTTTTTGTCACAGAAGTTATTATCGTTTGATCGGAGTCTAATATAAGTATAGTCAAACGTCTATAATTTCTGAGAAGATCAATTCATAATAATAATTAATAATTCATATTAAATTTGTATTATTCGATTAAATGCACGAGTACCTATTAAATCATGATTATGGTTTTAGTTATAAGTGTAGATAGTGATAGGTTGATCACGGATTACATGTGGTCGGGTTACATGTGGTATAGAGTAGGTCTACGAACGCAAATAAAATTAAACATTCAGCAAATATTGGTTATTTAAAAGAATGTGGTATTCCAATTTTTTCTATAACTGTAAAATACAAGCGCCAGTAATATTTTACGCTTGTAATATTTGTCGGATTGCGAGTGTGGGGGAGTATCGGATAAAATGGAAGCGTTTGATGTCGCCAGTTCATTTTGCAAATGTAGAAATTTATGCCAAAATACTGCTAAATATATCACGGAAAATCTTAAATAAGTAAAGTTTCATGGTGGTGAATCAAATTAAGAATACGAATTTTGATCAAGTAATTATATGCATTTCTATGTGGTATATACATGGTCGTAAGATGAGCCTTTGGGAAATGCCAGAAAAATGTGATGAATTCCTTTAGTTTGCTATATACACGTTCGTAAATACCACAATCAGTGACGACGCGCAACATCAAAGGTACGAAACCTGCTAACTGCGACTGAAGCAGATCATAGCTATAATAAGAGAGATTCATGTGGAACAATAAACTGTTACGGGCTGACTAAGAAGAATAAATTATTATTTGGTATAGCACGAGAAAGATACATCATTATAGGCCCGTAAAATTTCAGTTATGGGTCTCACTAATTGAGAAAAAGATTTGCCATTATCGTCACGCTTGGCAGCCGGCTTGATGGTCACAGTATCAGACGTTTCGCATCTTTGATGCTGTGTCCGAAGGTTTGCGTATTTTACAGATCGATTGGAAGTCATAACATCTTTTTATGATATTCCATAGTCGTCTCTTAACACACCCACTCGACGAAACGGGGTGATATATTCTCTGCCGCCTCCACGCGGTATACGAGTACGCCGCCACTACAAGGCATTACTAAAAACTACCATTACCATTACAGCTTATAAAAGTCCACTGCTGAACATATGTTTACCCCATAGATTGCCACATGGGGTTTTTTATAGCATAAGGCTGACAAGAGAGCACACAGTCCATCTGATGGTAAGTGATTGCTGTAGCCCATAGACATCTACATCTATCCTCGATTACGAATCTAGATGCAGATGCGTTGTCAGCCGTGAGGAGTTAGATGGAATGCTTCGATTCCCGTAAAAAGGGTCTCCGGTTCTCTACACTCACCATACGAAACACAGCCGAATTAAGCTGCTATTTTACTCTGGTATTATGTGAGAGCGTGGTCCTTCCCCGGTCGAGCCGACCCGTTCGTGCTACAACTATACAATTAGCTACAGCATGGCTCCACCACGTTAAGATTTTACAAAAGTTGAAGCTCTTGGCGAGCGAGTTGTCAACCGCAGTTTTTTATTATTTTGAGTTGTTATGAGGAAGATGCCGCTGCCCATCACCGGTTTCGATTTCCCTCTGTCACATTTAACGACAACCACGGGACGGTGTAGGGTAGTGGATATTCTTAACCCCCATACGGCATAACTACTAAAAATTAGTCAGTTGTAAATAGGTACTTTCGAGAAAAAGTTAATCAATACGCACGTAGTTATAGGCTGTTAACTAATTGCGTCTGGGATTGGAACTTAGGTTTTTCTTCGAGCAAAAAAGCGAACGAGAGCGGGCTAATAATATATAATTACTTTAATTACAGCCTTCTGACGGTGACCGCCTTCGGGACACGGCGGCTAATGTTTGAGAGACCCGATGGCGCGTGGCTGACTATGCCGTTTTCATTTTTGTAAATGACACGAGAAAATTAAAAAAGAAAAAGCTAAATGTATTTTTTCAACTTTTCTTTTATATTTGTGTATGTTAAATACATATTATCATCTAATTACGATATAAGTACTAAATATTTCATTACACATTTAGTTGAGTGTTTTTACATATATAAAAAGAAAATAAAT